GATGGCCCATGGAAAGGCTCCCTTCCCGGCCCCTCTCGACATTCAAAGGCGCTGGGGCCGCAGCTGCCACCACACAAAGGCGCGCGCAGCCAATGGGAGCAGAGCGCAGCGCGGCGCGGCCTCGCCGGAACCGCGGGGGACAGCGAGGACCGCGGGCGCGCGGGTGGCGGAGGGGTGGGGAGGTAGGGCGGGAGTGACGGCTGGGAGGGAGCGGGCGCCAATCGCGGCTGCCCGCGGCCGGGCGGGGGGTGGGTCAGCCCCTCGGGGGCGCTTTGAGCCCTGCGCGGGTCCCCGGCCGCCCGCGCGCTGTAGCGCGCGCGCGTGAAGGGCCCCTGCACACAGACCCGGGTGGCGTGCACACAGAACACGCATACACGGAGACAGACGTGCACCCATACATGTGGAGGTGCGTCCGTGCGTGCACACAGACGGGCACAAGCGCATGAAGTGCACACGACCCGGAGGGCCCTGCACGCAGCGCACGGGTCATTCGGGGACGTGCGCTGGGACGCTGGCGCACGTGCAGAGCCTGACTGCGGGCACAAGTGAAGCTGGAAAGCGAGGAAACAGCCGCAAACAGGACCCAGTCACAGCCACGCAGACATGCCCACACTGAAAGCCTTGCGAATGCAGGACACGTGCCAAGAACACGTACCCAAAGACACAGAGAGGGGACACCCGCTGCAGATGCAGGTGAGGCGTGCACTCAGACAGCTACATGCCCTCCGTGTCCCGATCTTGCGGAGCACAAAGCTCGGCAGTAATCATTTGCCTAATTGAAAACCGCTCACCCGTGGAGGTATGTGCATACATACATACAAAGAAAGACACAATCGTCCAGAAAATCCCGGGCCACTCGGCCCATCTGCCCTACTCTGACACAGTCACGCCCAGCCATGTGCACAGACACGCCCACTTCTACAGCGCGCAGGCAAAGATGTGGCTTCAGGGTTCCAGGCTCCTGCAGATTAACACGTGGAAGCACAGTCGCGATGTCAGTGTGACCTGTGGCTGAGTACAGACAAGGCAAAAGCAAAGTGCCTCTACCCTGCAGCCCTGTTGGGGGTTGGGGTGGCAAAAACCACCGTCATGCACATCCAGCTGACCTGCTATGAAAACTCCCAACACAACCCTCAGACCAGGTTCATGGTCTGCCCCAAGGCCAGAGAATGCTTGGGGGCCCATCTACAGGCAGAAACACTGAGGACTCTTCCTCCATTGGGACTTCTCTTCAAAACCACCCGGTGGCTTCTTTATTTAATGAGTCTGGTAAAAAAAGTAGACAGTAAAATCACAGCATGCAGAGCTGGAAGGGATCTAATCCAGCCCCACTTGCACCCCATTTTAAAGATAAGAAGAAGGAGGGCCATTCATTTAATACATATTGTGCTTGAGTTGGGAGTCCTTGTATGGTGCAAATGGTTAACATGCCTGGCTCTAACTGAAAGGTTAGAGGTTCAGGTCCACCCAGAAGTGACTCGAAAGATAGGCCTGGCAATCTACTTCCAAAAGATTAGCCATTGAAAACCCCGTGGAGCACAGTTCTTCTCTGACACACGTAGGGTCTCCATGACTCAAAATCAACTCCATGGCAACTGGTTTGGCTTTGGGGGACTTGGTGCTTGAGTCAGGGCATAGGGAGGTGTTATGGATTGAACTGTGTTCCCTAAAAATGTGTGTCAACTTGGCTAGTCCATGATTCCCAGAATTGTGTGATTGTCCACCATTTTGTCATCTGATGTGATTTTCCTATGTGTTGTAAAACCTACCTCTATGATGTTAATGAGGTGGAATTAGTGGCAGTTATGTTAACAAGGCAGGGCTCAGTCTACAAGATTAGGTTGTGTTTTAAGTCAATCTTTTTCGAGATATAAAAGAAAGAAGCCAGCAGAGAGACATGCGGACCTCATACCACCAAGAAAGTAGTGCCGGGAGAAGAGCGCGTCCTTTGGACCCCAGAGTCCCTGCACTGAGAAGCTCCTAGTCCAGGGGGAGACTGATGATAAGGACCTTCCTCCAGGGCCAACAGAGAGAGAAAGACTTCCCCTGGAGCTGATGCCCTCAATTTGGACTTCTAGCCTCTGAGACTGTGAGATAATAAATTTCTCTTTGTTAAAGGTATCCACTTGTGGTATTTCTGTTATAGCAGCACTAGAGATACTCCTAAGACCCAATCTCTCCAAGTCCAATGGGGTCCCTCAGAAACAGGCAATCACCATAGAGCCTGCTAGGTGCAGAGATGGGTGTCAGCATAGGATGTTGGGGGGAGAGGGGCACTTAGGAGGGACAACTAACCCAGTGGGTGGGGGTGGAGGGTACAGTTGGGGCTAACTTCCAGGAAGAGTGACTTCTAAACCAAGACTTGAAGAATGAAGCGTTGAAAAAGTGAGGTAAGGCAAAGCAGAGGACAAGCTAACGGTTTTGTCAACAGAGGGAGAACCATAGCCTGACTTTGTCAGGACGGGTACCACATTCCCAGTGGCAATGGTGGGACAGGATGCCAGTGCAATCTCTCTCTCTCACTTGCACACGCGCGCATGCACGCACACACACAGGCATCCCTCTAACTCTCGTTCCCCACTCCACCTCAAACACCTCTGGCTGCCCCTGAGTTCAGGGATGAGTCAGAGGCAGTCTGTGGGAAACCTACCAACAGTCCCAAACCTCACTCTAGACGATTATTCCAACCCACTTCTGCCACCAACTCTTTCCTTTTTTAATTAACTGTCAAATAAATATCATGCCACCACTAATTTTTAAAAAATCTGAGGAAACAAAACTATCTTAATAAACTCCTAACTACTAGAACTTTTTCCTGTTCTATTTCAGCCTTTTGTCCATATGCATGGATATTGACATTGTCATCATCATCTACATATGATTTTTATCCTGCTTTTTAAAGTTAACATTCTGTGGGAAACATTTTCCCATCCTTCTTTATAGTCTTCATAATTATAATTTTAAACGTTTTCATAGTATTCCAACAAGTGAATGTAGTGTGAAATTACTTAATCACATCCTTATTCTTGGGCACTTAATTTCCTCCCAATTTTCCATTATTGCAGATCACACAATAAACTTCTTCATGCATATAGCTTCTCTCTTTTGTCGAACTGTAAGCTTAAAATAAACTCCTAGGATTGGCATTCCTAAGTCAAGAAAAATGGAAAACTTTATAATTCTTACCACATATTGCTTTATAAAAAGATCAACTTTATTGCCAATGCTGCCAGCAGTATACGGTGTGCTGGTTTCTCTGCAACTTCATTAACTCTGGGTGGGCTTTCTTGTTTGTTCATCTACTTTATACCAATCTGGAGCCCTGGTGGTGCAGTGGGTAAGGGCTTGGCTGCTAATCATAAAGGTCAGCAGTTCGAATCCACCAGCCACTCTTTGGAAACCCTATGAAGCACTTCTAATCTGTCCTATAGGGTCACCATAAGTTGGAATCGATTAGATGGCAATGTTTTTGTTTGTTTTGTTTTTCAAGGTCATTTTTTTTCTTTTTTTTTTTTTATTGTACGTCAGGTGAAGGCTTACAGAACAAATAGTTTCTCATGAAACAGTAGCACACATATTGTTTTATGACACTGGTTAACAACCCCACAACATGTCAACCCTCTAACTTCTAAACCTTTCTTTTTTTGGTGAAAATACACATAGCCAAAGATACACCATTTCAAAAATTTCTACATGCTGGATGGCAATGTTTTTTGTTTTTGTTTTTGTTTTTTTTTAAATACCAATCTGACCTTCACAGCAGAATGGTTAGTATACAAACTCCAAAATCAGATTGTCTGGCTTCGTGTTCTGGCTCTGCAACTTACTAGCTTGGGCAAGTTATTTAACTTCCCTAGGCCTTGGTTTTAACATCAGTAAAATGGGAATGATTATAGTAACCTTCCTCACAGTATTAATGTGAGGACCAAATGAGTAAATACTTGTAAAGTATGTAGAATAGTGCCTGGCTACTTAGCTCTTAGTTCCCTCCCCTTTGCTTGTTCATCTCTCTCTGACCAGCTCCTCTCGCTCTCCTGATACTATTTCTGAGGAGGCTGAGCCATAATTCCTAATCCAAAATAGAAAAACATCACCCTATAAGGTAGAGAGAGCACCATCAGCCTTGATCCCTAACTCAGAATTTAATTTCTCACTCTTTTTTGGCTCCATCGTGGCCACCTGCAGAAAGGGTGCTATAAATCCTCATGTTGCTGCGACCCAGAAGCATCTGTTTAGAGAACAACTCCTTTGGAGCCCCACATCAGGTCTAGTTTAGGACCACCATTGTCTTTCAATCAACGAATGAAAACAGATCTGCCACATCCGTCATATAGATATAGAAAATTCCCAAGACCTTGACAGAATTCCTGCTCTTCTCCAGGTTGTGTTGGCATCAGATAGACACAGCTTTCAAGATCTATGCAAAACAGCTGTGCTTCAGTCAACACACCTACAGTGACTGGTGTCACAACAGTCCTGTGCTAACCATGGTGGGGGTTCTAGATGCAGCCTGCAGGAAGAGGCAGGGCCCAGGCCCTAAAGTCCATCGGGAAGTCAAACCATAAACACCACAAAATGCAAGAGTTCTCCTGTCAGGGCTGCCCATAACCACGGAGGACGGTGAACGCTGAGACTGGCCGGGCAGCTGGAAGTCAGACAGATGTCTCGGTGGGCTGGAGTACTCAAGAAAGGCTCCAGGATGGAGCAGGGCAGGAGAGAACCCTAAAAGGTAGGCACATGCTGGACAGGCTGAGAAGATGGGAAAGGCATTGAGTCAAGGAAGCAAGATATGAAACCAAGCCCAGAAGTAAAAATTGAAGGAGGAGAAGGAGATGGGAGGAGCAGG